CATATTTTTAAATGCATAAAATAAAATACATAGGATTACCAAGGAAATCGCTTGTACTAGAATACGATTATCAAAATATTTTCAAAACAAGTTCACAGACCTGAGGTGAAAAATCCCTGAACCAGATGATTTCTAAGATTCCCTTCCAGATCTGACATTCCTGAAATATATTATAATCAATAATTCACTACAGGAAGGTCTAATTGAGCAGTTTTCAAACTTTTGGGTCTCTGAACCCCTTTATGCTTTTAAGAAAGAGTCTCTTTGTGCTTTTGTTTATGTGAGTCCTATCAATTAATAGTAATCATATTAGAAATTAAAATGAAAACAGTTATGACCCCCTATTAGGGTCTCAGGGACTCCAAGGGGTTCCTGGCCCACACTTTGAGAACCATTGGCAGGGGTAGGGAACCTGAGGCCTCAAAGCCACATGTGGCCCTCTAGATCCTCGAGTGTGGCCCTTTGACCGAATCTGTGAAGCTTGGATTCAGTCAAAGGGCTTCACTTGAGGACCTAGAGGGCCACATGTGGCCTCAAGGCTGCAGGTTCCCCACCCCTGCTGTAGCCTAGAAATTCTAATCATAATAATACCTTGTCTGTCGTAACTCTGTGAGGTTACAAAGTGTTTCACACCGCTGATCTCTGCTGATTCTGCAAAGTTGTCTTTTGAGATAGGTTGCTAATGTTACCCCCATTTTACAGATGGGGAAACTGATGCTGAAAGTCACACAGCTGCCTGGAGCAGGAAGTTGGGACTCGGCAGCCAGTCTCCTGCCTCTGAGTCCAGTTCTCTCTCTTCCCAACCATGTTGGTTTTCCTAAGAGATAAGATATGATGATAAACTTTGTGTGGAAAATTCCCCCTTTTAAAAATCACTTAACTCCTTCCAGAATGTAGTGGGATTCTCCATATATACAGGTAATTGGAGATTGTGTCTATTTAAAGCTCAGTTTTGATATTTAAACAGCTGGGTGGCCAAGGGAGCTAGAGGACTGGCCTGGGCCTCTGGCAGATGGAGTTGAATCCTACTGCTGACCCTTCCTGGTTGGGTGACCTTGAGCAAGTTACTTAAGCAGCTCCCTCAGCCTCAGTTTCTTCATGTCTAACAACAAAAAGGAGCTTACATTTTATAGCACCTTAAGGTTTGCAAAACGCTTTCCATATATGATCTTGTTTAGTCCTCACAGTGATCCTCTGAGATAGTTGCTATTATTGGACCCATTTTACAGATCAGCAACCTGAGTCTCAGAGAGGTGAAGTGCTTTGCCCCAGGGTCACGCAACTAGGACGTCTCTAAGGGAGGATTTGAATCCAGGTTTTCTTGACCAAAGTCCAGCATGGCAGTCCCCATGTGACCTTGTTTCATTTACCTCTAAGGCCTTAGTTTCCTCTTCTGTACAAAGGACTATATGACCCAAAGTTCCCTTTTAGCTCAAGATGTGGGATCCTGTGTGTGAATGCAGGCAAGTCCCCATCCTGTCTCTGGGCCTCAGTTTCCTCATTTGTAAAATGAAGAGTTTGGACTAAGTGACCCTTAAGGTTCCTTCTAGTTCCAGATCCATGATCCTGTGGAGGTGAATGATATCACCAGCCTTTTGTTATGAGCCTCATATGAGGTCATGGATGCTTGGGCAGTTTTTTTTCCCTGCCCCTGGAGCTCATAGGGTCTTGGGAAGAGCAGATAGATACCCAGATGCCCATCTGAGAGTAATGGGAAAGCCATCTCCTCAATGGCCGTCCCAGTCTGAGGCTTCAGGAGGCCTTGGCATGATTGGCAATGACAGCATTCAATGCGAAAGGGCCCATCAGAAGCCGGCTTGGTTATTTTTTTTTTCAGCCTAAGATGTCATTGGAAAGCTTGTAGCAGAAAGCTCATCTAATTTTGGGAACTGTCCATGACAAGCATCCTTTGGGGGCAACACAAATGATACCCTCTCTTGCCAAACTCTCTGGGCCAGTTTTCTAGGCCCTTCCTTGCCACTGCTGTTTCTAAGAATACAATGAGGCGAACGTTAAGACCCACAGCCTCAAGGAAGTTACTTGGCTACTGAACTCATCTCCTAGGGAATGCTGGGCCCTTTCTAGCAGAGCAGAATGGGGCAGAGCACCCTCCTTTGAATTTGTCCCAAGGCCAGCCCCCACCTTCTGCATGCAGTCATCGGGAAGGCAGGGGCTCACTGTGACCTCACTCTCAACTTTCAGGAGGTTTGGGAGAATAGCAGATCCTGCATTGGCCCGATGGGGGTTTTAATGGATAATTACCCATTCAGCGGCTGCCAGACACACACACACACACACACACACACACACACACACACACTCTCTCTCTCTCTCTCTCTCTCTCTCTCTCTCTCTCTCTTTCTGTGTCTCTGTTTCTCTCTGTCTCTGTCTCTTTGTATCTGTGTCTCTCTCTCTTTCTTTTAATCTCTGGGTCTCTTTCACCCTCCCAGTGGAAGGGGAGCATTGTAGACCATGCAAGCCACACAGTTTCTTACATGTGGATAAGAGGGAAAATGACTTGGTGAAGGGCAAAAAAGAGAAAAATCAAAAGAGAAATTGGAAATATTTTTCAAAGAAGCAGTTGCTGATAATAATAATAATAATAATAGTAATAATAATAATAAAACTTTCTGGAGTGCTTTAGGTTTGACAAAGTGCTTTACATACATTACATCACCTAAGCCTCATAACAACACTGGGGCATATTGCCATTTTACAGCTGCCTATACTGAGGCTCAGATGGCAGGATGCCTTGTCCCCACAGTCACTCACCTAGTAAGTTTCAGACCCAGGATTTGAACCCAAGTCTTCCTGGTTCCAGGTCCTTCTTCACGCCGTCTTCCCGTCACAATATTTACTTGGGTGCTGGGTTACTTCCCCCTTAAACCTCTTGGGTGACAGAACAGGGTATTGGGCCTGGACCTGTGGGGAAGAGCTGTCAGGATGTGGCTCTAGGGGGAAATGTGGCTGTGCAGTCTTTGGCCTTACAAGGGAAGTGTGGCTAAGACATTTGGGAAGGAGCTTGGGCCCCAAGAGAGGCGGGACATGGGGAAGCAGTAGTTGCCCAGGACATGGTCACGGCATGACCAGTTGGGAGTCAGCTCTGATCCTGCTTGCCATTCATTGATGAGCGGCTTCCTGTTACAGGGGAAAGATTCGGGGGTCCGCGGCCTTGGATTTGAATCCCAGTTCTCTCATGTCCGGTGTGACCTTGGGCCAGTCTGCTCCTCTCTTGGGGCTTGCGCTTCCTCTTTTAAAGGATGAGATCGGATTACACCCCTCTCCTTTCCCTCCTTGCTTTAGCTATTCTGTGTTGTCCTATAAAGAACCAAGTTGCAGATGGGACTTACATCTCTGCCTCTCTTGATCCCACAGATCGCCAGATTTCAGAAGGACCATGCCAACCTTTTTCTTCCATTAGTGCTGTTTCCAGTTCCCAGATAAACCCCCCAGGAGCGGTTTCTAACTCAGCACCAGTGCTAAGAAGGCATTCAAAGGCAGCGGTATGTATTGTATCTGGGGCAAGTCACATGAAAGGCACCCTTAGCTGCATGGGGCAAGCGGTGTGGGAGGGGGGCAGGCAGAGACTATGGGACACCAGTGTGAGGCTGCTTGTAGGGAGGCTACTGTCAAGAATGGCAGGTGGGAAGGAAATTTACCCCATCGTGCTGAAGGCAGGCAAGTGTTGTCAGCACCCTCAGAATTTAGTGCCTTGGAGTAAAGCCCCAGTTGCCCTGCCTTAGTTGCAACTCTGCTCTTAGCTGCTCTTCTGGGCTCTCTCCATCTGCCTGCTACGTGTGTTCCAGTTGGAAACCTTAGCCTGTGATGGCATCCTCAGTTGAATTCTGCCCCTTCTTCCAAGTTAGAGAATCTTTTAGGTGGAGGAGAAACTTCCCAGCTGCCGTTGTTCCTCTGTGGAAACAGGGCAGAAGTTTCCAGATGTATTCTCCCACCTGGCCAGATTATATCCGAGTTTGCTTCTCTCCCCTGGGGGCAGGGGTGGGGGTGGGGAGAGAGTCCTAAAAGCTGGTATTCGTAGCTTCACACATAATATAACACAGCCACGAGAGTGCTGGACTTGGAGGGCCCTGGCTTCACATTCCCCCCTCTGCCACTTGCTCTCTCTGGGGCCCAGCAGGAGTGCCTTTTAAACCTTGAAGACTGGTGGCTGAACAATGGGAAGAGGGCTGTCTCTGGAGGCAGGGGTCCTCAGTTCAGATCCCACTTGTGCTGGTTCTTACCTGTGTGATCCTGAGCAAAACGTTTCACTTCCATGGGTAAGCCTTAGTTTGCTCATTGGCCTTTGTGGTCCCTGCCAGCTCTACATGTAGGATAAGGCTGTTCTTTTCCTTTGGAATTATCTCCTGTCCCCTGCTTCCTTGAGCTACACCCTTCTTCTGAGCTCTCCCTTTCCTCTTTTAACCTTGTGGTCCACAAACCCAGAGAGGCTTTCTCTTAGAAAGCATTAGCCCTCCTTTCCCTCTCTGCGCCCTCCAAATACCGCCACCACCGAATCACTTTAAACTGCCACAGAGCTCGCCCTCCAGTTCACTTCAGTGACCGATGGGATTGGCTTCCTGGCCTCCTCCCGTGTCCGTTCCAGTGAACTGGAAGGATCCCAGGCAGCGTGGCCTTGGTCATCCACTGGGGGAGGTTGGCCTTGTGCTGCTTTTTTCAGTTCTCACTCTCCTTTTTTCTCGGATGATCACTGAACTGGCCGTCTGTCCTTTTGCACCAGGAGATGACTGAAAATGGGAACCACCAGTTGGTAGTAAAGGCACGGTTCAACTTTAAGCAGACCAATGAAGATGAGCTCTCAGTCTGCAAGGGCGACATCATTTATGTCACTCGAGTGGAAGAAGGTGGCTGGTGGGAAGGCACTCTCAATGGGAAAACCGGCTGGTTCCCTAGTAATTATGTCAGAGAAATTAAGCCTAATGGTAAGTAAAGCTTGATAGAGCTTTTTTTTTTTTCCCTCACTGATGGTTTCTTGAGCATTTACATTTTTTTAAAACATCATTGGCACTTCCCAGCAACCCTCTTTGGAACAGTCCCTTGTAACAAAGGGGAAAATCAAACAAGGCAGAGTGGCACACCGAAGTATGTGTGACAGTGTATGCAGCATTCTGTATCCATTGTCCACCACCTTTGTCTCTACTGAGAGGAGGCACATATGTTTCATCATCAGTCAGTCCTTTGGTCATTACGTTCTTCTGAATTCTTATGCTTTTGAGGTCATTATGTATATTGTTCTCTTCTTAACTTCCCTACCAAAGGTTTTTTGTGGGTATCAGTGGCCAACAGCAAATTTGGGGATGAATGTGTATCTCTTTAACAAAGTCGACTTAATAATACAGCAGAGAGAGCCAGCAGAGCCTTTCATTTGGGCTTTCTATGCCAAGCTGTGCTTCAGGAACATCAAGGCTTCAGAAAACACAAGGAAAGCAGTGGCTCCACCTTAAATTGGTCCCTTTCGGTCTGCCTAGCGACTGAAGCCCATCCGGCAGGGAGCGCCTGCCCAATGGTGCCTGCCTGCTGACCTCAGCCTCTTGGGATGGCAGAGTAGGATAAGCAGATATGTCTAGAGGTCTTATGCTAACTTCCTTGTTTAGCTAGGGGCTCTTAAGGAGGCCTCAAGAGCAAATGCCTCATCGATGTGTCAGAGAGAATGGAATTATGTGTCTGGAGTGGACCAGGCCAAGGGGTCATCTGGGTCATCTGGCCCATCTGGGTGAGCCTGCTCGGCAGTCATCTCAGGCAAATGGCCGTTCTAACTGCCCCCAGAGAACGGCGGCCATCTGACCCCTCTTTCAGCCATACTTTGGGATCTTTGGATTTGGGAAACTTGCCTGAATCCTTCTTGTTACACAGTGAGCCCCTGTCCTTGTAGTCCTCGGAGAGAGCCCCCTCTCAACATTCCTTTTGCTTCCTGGAGACTGTCACCAACTAGCTCTCTGCAATGCTAATCTGGCCAGGCCTTGCTTCAAAAGAAGGGGCTACAGGCAACTGCTTCTCTGTCTATACCAGCAAGGGACAGACATTTAAATGGCCTGCTCCCCTGGGCTTTCTAAGCAGGTGCCTTTTGGGAATATTCAGTCTCCCCACAGCTTTTCAGACATAAATCTGCAGCACTAAGTGAGGTATGCCTGTGATACAATCTGTATTTACTGGCACTAACTTTTATTTTTTAATTTAGGCAATTGGGGTGACTTGCCCAGGGTCACAAAGCTAGTAAGTGTCAAGTGTTTGGTCTGAGGCCAGATTTGAACTCAGGTCCTCCTGACTTCAGGGCTGGTGCTCTGTCTACTGCGCCGCGTAGCTGCCTCTTAACTTTTTTTTTGAGAGGCAGTCTGTGGAGTCAGGAAGACCTGGGTTCAAATTTTGCCTTTGACTTGGATTGGCTGTGTGACCCTGGGCAAGTCACTTAACCTCTTAGTGCCCCAGTCAATTAACTCTCTCTTAAGACTGTAAGTGACTGCCAGTTGCTACTCGGCTTCATTAGGGGAGTTCCTGGCTCTGATAAAATCAATCACAGGTTCAGACCTAAAAAACTCCCCAAAGTTTTGATCCCATATTTGCAGACTTCTTGGCATTTCCCCCATTACTGTGTTTTTGAGCCTTTGGAAGGAATAATCCTCAGCATGTACTTTGTTTTTTGTTTTTCCTCTTTTCTTTTAAAAAATATTTTATTTTTTCCCAATACATGTAAAGACAATTTTTTAACAGTTATTTAAAAAAAATTGTGAATTCCAAATTTTCTTTCTCCCTCTCTCACCTCCTCCCTCCCTGAGATAGTGAGCAATTTGATAGAAGTTATGCATTTGTGATCACGCAAAACACATTTCCATATTAGTCATGCTGTAAAAGAAAGCACGGACAGAAAGAAAAAAAAACATGAAAAAAATAAAGTGAAAAATAGCATGCTTCGATCTGCATTCAGACTGCATCTGGATGTGGGGAGCATTTTCTCTGGACGCGGATAGCATTTTCCATCATGAGTCGTTTGGCATTGTCTTGGATCGTTGCATTGCTGAGAGGAGCTAAGTCTGTCAAAGCTGGTCATCGCCCAATGCTGCTGTTACTGTGTACAATGTTGTCGTTCTGCTCACTTCACTCAGCATCAGTCCATATAAGTCTTTCCAAGTTTTTCTGAAATCAGCTTCTAGCATGTACTTTGGCAGATTGTTCAGAGTGTGGAGCTGGGCTCTGTCAGTTCATCAATAAACATTTATTAAGCACCAGCTGTGTGCTAGTCACTGTGCTAAGTGCTGGGGTCCAGTTTGGGAACACACTGGTGTGGGACAGAGACCTCTCTGGGGCCTTCCCCTGGGGCATTGGTTCCTTCCTCCCAAAGATTGCCACCGTGGCCATTGCTGACCCTGCGTCCTGGGCTCCTACCCATGTGCTCCCTAGCTTCCTGAATAATGATGATTAATAAATAACGATGATGATAATATATGCTGATATTGTAATGATGATGATGATAGTAATAGTAATAATGAGGATGAGGATGATGCTAATGATAGCTAGCATTTCGTGAGGGCTTTCAGGTTCACCAAGTGTTTTACAAGCATTATCTTCATTTGCTTTGAATTTGAGTCCAGTTCAGAACTCACCAAGGGTAGCCTCTAAGCCAGACTGTGTCTGTCTTTCAGAGACCAGCCGAGCTAAGCCCAGAGAGCTTCTGCAGCAGCTTGGCCATGGGATGAGGGGTTTTTCATCCTTAGCAATTCTCATTCTGCAGTAGAATGGAAGGGTAGCAATCTGTTGGGTTGGAGCAACGTGCACCCATATGGATGTAATCTCAGATCCCCAAAGTATTGAGATTAGGTGTGATGTTCTCCTGTTTCCACCCCAGGTGTGCTGCAGCAAAAGTTAGACGTTCAGAGTGGCAGTTCAAGGGTGGAGGTGAAACTGGAGGGAGGTCTCTAGTGGAGTGCCACAAGGCTCTGTTCTGTCCAGCATTATCAAAGGACCAGTCTAATGAGATGAAATTGAATAGGGATAAATGTTAGACATGGACCCAGGGCTTGGTGGACCATGTATTCAATATGAGTTAATCATGTGATGTGGCTGCCAGAGGCTACATTAACAGAATGAGAGAGGTGATAGTTCTACTTTACTCCTCCTTGGCCAGGCCACTGTGCTCAGTTTTCTGAATGTCATGTTCTAGGAAGAGCAGTGACAAAGTGGTGTTTAGAGGGTCCATGGAGTGATGGATTGAGTTCTGTTCTTGGAGTTAGGAAGCTCTGGGTTCAAATCCAGCTCAGATACTAACTAGCTATATGATCCTGGGCCCTGAGATGACCTCTGGTACCCTAACTCTGATATTTTGGAATTTCCTGAGTTCACTGCCAAGAACCCAAGGTTGTGAAGCCTTGTCCCAAGGTTCCTGGAGATAACTTGCAAAACACATCATTGGAGTACCCCAAGCCCCTGATTGGTTGGCACTGAGGAATGGGTGATGCTGATTACCTAGAGAGTAACTCCCTTAGAGAGTCAATGCCCAGGCTACCGGAAGGCTAAGTGACTTACCCCTGGTCGTAGCGATGGTGTGTGTCAGGGGCAGAACTCAAACCCAGATCTCTGTCTACCCCTCTACTTCCCCACCACTCCCCCGACCACTGCCTCTCCATTATCCATGATGGCTGCAACAGCCAGAAGAATAATGCCCGTAGTTCTACTCCTTTAAGGGTTCTAAAATACTTTCCAAAGCTTTTGAGCTCAGTCAGACACATTGAGCTCAAAAAAGGGAGAACATAATTGTTCTGACTTTGAGAAGGCAGAAGGCCTTTCTGGCTCTTGTCGGGGTTGAGGTTCCCATCATACACGTGCTGCCTCGATGGGCCCATTAGCCCAAAAGCCCACCTTTGTGGTTTATTTTGGGTGTGGTTTTCTTTTTAGCAGTGGGCTCAATTCAAAGAAGCCATTTGTCAGAGGTGGTGATTGATTGGAGCAGAACAAGGAGCCATCTTAACTGACAAATGTTTCTGAAGCACCTACTGTATGTTAGGAAACTGTACTAGATCTTGGAGCTCCAGAAACAAGCAAAGCAACCCCTGCCCTGAGGAGCTTACCATTCTGCCAGCTGTAATCCTGGCATCAAGGTCATTGCAAACTGGAAAGCACTAATTCCCCGGGGCCATATTGCCCACCTCCTTCCCACAAGAACCCCAAAGTTCGCCCCCTGGAGCCCTGCTAGACTCTGATAGGTGAGCCCAGAATCCGTCCCCCCATCTCACTTCCATAAGGCCAGTCCCACCTTCCCCCATTAGAATGGAAACTCCTGGAGGAAATTCTTTCTTTTTGTTTGTATTTGTATCCCTAACACTTAGCGCAGTGCTTAGCACACAGTAAGCACTTAATAAATGCAGACTCTCTCTTTCTCTGTCATCCATCTCTATCTCTCTTCTTCTCACTACCAACCTATCTCTATAAATGTTAGTTACTATTATTACTTAGCATTGTCCTTTACATGTCTTGGATGTTTTCTTGAATAATAACTCGATGGCATGTATCTTCTCTGATACGTTAAATCCAGCCCGATCGCTCAGTCTGGTGCCAGGATTTCGCAGCGATATCCACCTATTATAAAATTGCTGCTGTCTCTTGCTATCGCCTTGGAGGCCTTAGGTAGATGGTTTCAAATGAAGGCTTGCCGTGCTATGCTGTCCCACTCTTCCCTCTCTCCCTCCCCATGAAGCTTCATTTGCAAGCTCAGGACTTTTTCAGGAAATGCCAGTGATGATTGGGGGGGCGGGTGAGAGAGGAAAGGGTGATGAGAATTCCACTGGGGGAAAGGACTTGTTTGACGAATTTTGTGAGATGTTCTGAGTGACATCAGTGCTGAAGCATGTCTTCCAAGGTGAATGAATGGCCTGTTCTGTGAGTGAGGGAATGAGGCCCTGCAGTGTTTCTGAGGGCCCCGGCAGTAAATGCA